TCCTACTTCTCTGGCTAGAAGCAGTGCTAGTATATAAAATATTGACCAGAGCTGTCATGTGTATCCAATGTATGTTATTGTGTAGATAGAAACTCAGGGTTATAAACAAAACTGTCTTCCATTTTGTGAACTATTATACTGTATTATAATTATGAAAATATTTAATATTTATTACTAAAACTGATGTCAAATAGTCACTAGAAAGCTTATGAAATGATTTTTTTTAGCATTGAAGTAACTGTGTTAGGTCTTTTCAGTCAATTTTATAACCCAGTAACTTTGATGCCATTTAAAGTAATGTATACATATGGGATAATAGTCAAATTATCCCTTAGTTATGTTTGTGTATAAAGCAACAACATCTCCTTTTGTCCACATCTGAAATTACACTGGGAACAGGAAATAAAAGCAGTACAGTGAGCTACTATGCCTAACACACATGAGCTATTCTAGTCCTTTCAAAGTATGTTTCAGTTTTCATTTTGAACTCTTGCCATTTTTAATTTTTCTTTCCTATTTAACAGGAGGAATATTATTTTAATATTTCAGATATTATGTTATCTTTGGACGTTGGTTTGAAAAATAAAGTAAAATGTCACAGGGTTTTCCTAAGCTTATACTATAGGCACCCCTATGACCAGAAAATACGTGGTTGAAACCCATGCTACTTACCTGGTGTTGAAATGAAAGTGGCAATGAAGCCTGCTGACTCTTCACTGTGGGGGGTTGAGACCAGCCTTGACTACTAAAGGCTCCTTGTCTCTGTTATGTTATATTGTTGTAATTTTGAAATTGATTGGATTTTGGAACTCAATATCACAGTTTTGAAAAGTTTGCCTTTTGACTCCCATTTCTATTTAGAGAGGTTGGGAAAATGGTTTTCTTTTTGGCTAGCATGGGGGTTGTAAAGAAAAATGAAAGCTCTAGCTATTAGTGCATAGAGAGTTGCCTGAGAAATGGCAACAGTGAAATAATGTGATCACAAAGGCACGGAAAACCACACACTTTGTAGCAAAATGAACATATAGAGTCATCACTGGGACTTTTACAACTGTCTCCAGCTTTACAGAGTCAACTTGAAGAAACGTAGAAGCTAAATGTTAGTATTATTCAGTTCCAAAGCAATGATAATTGATTGAAGAGATAGGGTGACTGAAGTCAGATTTTATGAGTGTATTCTTTTTGTTGGTTCAGTGGATGCTATCTTCATCTGTATGTCCATGTGGATCCTGTGGGTTTTCAACTGACAAATGTTAAATTTAAAATTGGTTGTGAATACACAGTTTGTAAAACGACCTACTAAGGTGTCCTTTTAAGTAAGGACAACTAAACTGCCTTGTTCTGAGCATTAGAGGTGCACTTCCATGTTTTGGAAACCTGCCACTATAACTTTGTAATTTTCTAAGATAAATCAGTTTACTGGAACATGGTATAATACTTTCTTTTTCATATCACTAATGGCATATTTTTTAGTTACTTAAACTTAAGTAAGCAAGATATATTTTATTTTTGACACCTTTTCTGTCATGTATATCAGTCTTGTTTTTCACACATATTTATATCCAGGAATTGCCAAAACAAAATTGTCATCCTAACTTATCCTATCAGGAACTAGATGTTCTATACTAATTGACAAATTAGATGCACATTAATCACCAGGAACACATGGCATCTACCCCCAAATTTGGAAAGCACTCAAAAGTATCATTTGTGAATTGGGAATTGCTGACAAAACGGGCGGGTTTTCTTTACAAAGGGCTGGATGCCAGGGCTCTCATGAACTGATGTATTGAACCCTCTTTATAAGAGACCATAAAGACCATGAACATCATTCCCTTTTCCAACGTGGGAAAGGTGACAAAGAACCATTTAGAATTACCACTTCTCAGTGTAACAAAAACCTAGTAATGTAAGTTTCTCATACACCTCACCGATCTCTGCTAAGAGTTAGCCTATTTCCAGGGGCTACATGGTATCAAGGCATTGGCAGGGAAGTGGGTAGAGGAAATGTGTGAGGGAGACTAATCCATCCTGTTTTGATGTTCTCTGCCTTCACATACACAGATGTCGGCTGAAATAGCCACCATCCCATATGGCCCTGACTTGTTTTTCATATTGGTTGCTTCAGGTGCATGCTGTGTGCCCCCAGTCTAACCCATAAGGTCTGTTGCTCTCTCCGTTTACAAGGTTGGTATTTTGTTGTTAGTTTTAGCTCACAATAGGCTGAAAGGTAATATGAGCTTTCTGAAGTTCCAGCAACTGCTCCCCTCTCCATCGTTTTAGTTTGTCCCTTCCCAACCATCTTCTGGCTCATCATATCAAAAGTTCCTGCTTTGGTGACAGCTTCAGCTTCTGGGACTTCCACCTACCTAAATGTTGAAGCTATCTATGCCTCCGATACCGGTCTTTGTTCCTTCATAGCTTCAAGGAATTGGGTGATAAAGCATTTTATTTTCTAATGTGTGAAGTCCCCTTTTTTCCAATTTATAAACCTTGTTAAGATAAACTTTGCAAATAAATGAAAACATCACACATCAAAGTTAGACAGACTCAGGCCATACAGCTCAATGCCCTTTTATCCAGTTAGAATTAGCATTGAGAAAGGGAGCTGTGAAGCTTCACATTAAATGTTACACTGAATTTTACACTAAGAGGCTGAAGAGTGTAGTTGTTTAGTCAAGGAAATTGCCTTTTAACTTTGTATTGTAGGAGGTCAACTTTAAACACAGCTAGAAAGCTGTAGTTTGCTCTTCATATGAACACTTGCATTAAGAAACACCTTGGAACCCCAGATTTCATTGGTAATTAAACAACTTTTCACTCTCCTGCAAGTTGATCCTGTTGTGCAAATCTCTTACAGAGTTAGGACTTTTTGTCTGCAGAAAATGATCGATTACCTGTGCTGTTGAGTCATATCAGAGAACAGACTCCAGGGAACCACAGAGAATCCTTGAGGGACACTGTGAGGAACTCTGTGGGATGGATTGAACCTCAAATGAAATTGTTCAGTCCTGATTTAATGCTAAGAAATGCAACATCCAATAGTTTCAATTGAGACATTTTATGCTCTCTTTGGTTTTATGCTGTTTTTGCTTTATCTTGATAAAGAGGGACTTCATAAATGACTGCTTTACTTTCCACGAACCTCTTTCTTCATTTTACATTTCAGATGGACTCTTTAATAAGCTATTTGAAAAGAAAGAAAATGTTATGCATGGCTTTCTTGTGATCATTGTTACACATGTCCTTGATCTTTACTAGTCTCATTGTCAGATGAGTTTTTTTTTCTGAGCAGTTTATATGGTGTGTGTGTGTGTATATGTGTGTGTGTGTGTGTGTGTGTGTGTGTGTGTGTGTGCCTACCTGCATTAAGGTCTTTAATGTGATAGCCATGTAGTATTCACCTATACTGTTTGTCTTTTAATTCCCACCACTGTACTGGAGTGATCAATTTAACTTGACCCTTGAAGATGCTGTCCACTCTCCAGAAAGTAGCCCCAGCCTTGAAAACTAAGTAGCACCGTTGCTCACTTGTAGTGATGTAGATATTGTGATGGAAAAGCTCAAAACAAACAACCCAAAGAACCAAAAACAAAACAAGAACCAACCAAAAAAAAAAAAACAAGAATATAGAAAACAAGTTTAGAGACAGTGAAAAAGCCACAAAAATCACGCAGGAATATGAAAGTTTTAAAAAAGAAACCAAAGAAGAAAAACCAAAAAGTCTTAAAAACAAACTTAAATTTCACAGGAAAGAATTGGATTAAGTTTTACACATAAACAGGAACAGTTTATTCATAAATAGGATTTTCTGTTGCTCCATTTTATGCATTGTATTTTATTTATTTGGATAATTTGCTTCTTTTTTTTTCAAACTTTCACCAGATGCCTACCATGTGATTGACAATGATGGGTATTTCTCTTCCAAAGAGGCAGTAAAAGCAAAGTTAATATATTGAAGAGAACATGTTTATTGATAATGAAGCAAAAATAAATCTGAAAACTTGGAAAGCAAGCAGAAGAGGTCATAATTTCAGATTATTCCTTGAGGAAGGCCATCTAAGTAAATTGTGATGTGTTCCTTGTTATTTTAAGTAAAGTAAACCAAGAAGGACATGCCTAATATACACAGTCCTTATAATAGTTACAAAGACATCAAAGATGCTATGTCAAATCTAACCACTTAAATTTTCTAACAGGTACATCTAAGCATAGGTAATATTTGAATAATGTTTCTCAGGTGATTTTTGATTGTCAACATAAATACCTCAAGCTTTTTCTAATTATTCCCCAGAGTAAAATTAAATGATCATTAAGACATTGTTTCAAAAACAAGCATTTATAACAGAATGGTTTTCTTAATGTTCTTTATATGTTGACTATGAACTCTTCAAAGTCTAATCCTACAGTATTAATGGGCATATACATCCTTCATAACAGCAATTAGGGAAACTTATTGTGCAAGTAAGCACTTTACAATTTGCAGATATTTCAGACCACCAAATTTTACCAGACTAGCATATCTATTTGTGTAAATTACTGTTGTTGAGACAGAGAAAAAGACAGCTTTGTAAATGATGGAAATCTGAAGAAACAAATCCAAATGCTTTGTTTCTAGATTTTTTCAGAGGTCAATATTACAAAGAAGTTCTATAAAACTAGAAAGTTTCATGTTATGTAGTGATTTATTTTGAATACTTTTTAAAAGAGGAGTTCCTAGTTTAGGTAACAATATTTTTAATATTTGGGAATGTCTTCCCAGAAGCTGCAAATATTATCTTCAGTAGATCATGGTGCTCCTTGACCGTGTTAATTTCGGCCTAGACAATATCTTCCTTCAATATCCTACTGATTCCTTTGGAATTAAAGGGACTTTCTTTTTGTTGGTTTTTTATTTTTAGAAACACTCTTATTTACATATCCATCCCCATGCCATCGCCCTCCTATTCTCCCATGCTTCCCACCGACCCCCCAACCCACTCACCACCCACATTCCAGGGATAGTGAGACCCTCCACGGGGCATCATCAAAGTCCATCACATCATTTGGGGGAGGGCTCAGGCCATCCTTTCTGTATTGCAGGCCATTGGGCTGTAATAGTAACCCTCCATATGCAGTGGGCTCCCAAAGTCTATTTGTGACCTAGGAATAAGCCCTGGCTCCACTGTTAGAGGTTCCATAGACTGCCTTGGCCTCCTAGCTGGTACCCACATTCAGAGGGCTTGGTTCTGTTAAATGCTGGTTCCCTCACTTTATGATTAGGGTCTCCGTGCTCTCATTAGGTCAGGTCAACTGTTCCTGCAGGTGTCTCCAGTTCTGTCTTGGTTCATTTGGTCATCTCTCCTTCCTCTCCATAACTTTATTCCAGGAGTGTGCAGCTCAGTGTTTAGCTGTGGGTGCCTGTTTCTGCTTTGATCCGCTTCTGGGTCAAGGCTCTAGGAATGGTAACCAACGTAGGCATCAATCTCATTATAGGGGAAGGGCATCAAAGGCAGCCTCTCCACCACTGCCTAGATTCTTAGTTGGGGTTATCCCTGTGGATCCCCTAACATTTCCCTGTGACAGACCTCTCTCCAAGCCTGTATTGGCTCCCTTTATCAAGGCATCTCCTTTCTTGCCCTCCTCTATTCCTCCTGTCTCAGTCCTTCTGTTCTCCTCCCCTATTCTTCGTCGTTCCCCTTTCCTTATTCCTCCAGTCCCCCCCTCCATGCTCCCAATTTGCTCAGGGGTTCTTGTCCCCCTCCCCTAAAGGGACTTACTTACTTGGAGACTCAAATCAGATTTGATGGTATTAGCACAACCAAAAGCAGGATTGAAACCCCTCGAACTGTGAGAAAAACCTAGAAGGCAAAGCAAGTGAAGATGATAGGACATCAGTCAGAAGGGCCGCTCAGGCCAATATGCCAGAGGCTGTCTGTCATGATCAGCCACTGTCTGCTACTCCTTCCCTAAGCTCAGCTTTAAATACTCTTCCCAGAGATGGTGGTGCCCTGTACAAATAGGACACAATAGGCTCCTCCTCACCAGAGAGCCATGAGGGCAGCAAAAAAAAAAAAAAAAAAAAAAAAAGGCAGTCTTCAGCACTGGTAAATGTGGGCTGCCTCCTATTTTAAAAGACATTCGCAGCTTTCATCCTGTGACTCCTGTTGTTTCTTTATCATGGAGGAATGGGGATGTCTACTAACCGTTTTTATGGAACTTAGACAAGAAACATACGCATACATACACAAACAAAGCAGGAATTAGAGGAGGCAGGAAGGTAAGGTAAAAATGAAGTAAGCAGTCAGTTGATGGTGGTGCATGCCTTTAATCCCAGCACTTGGGAACAGAGGCAGGTGGGTGAGTTCAAGGCCAGTGTGGTCTAGAGAGTGAGTTCCAGGATAGGCTCAAAAAGAAAAAAAAGTGAAGTGTGCAATGTTCTCCAGTTTCGTACAGAGTTAGATAGCCATACAATATCAGAAAGTGAATAGTGGTGTTGGGTAGAGGAAGAGAGAATATTTCTGAACATGGAGACTGTCAGAAGTTTCATGACATAAGTGCTGTGTGTCAGGAATTTTTCAAAGATGTGTTCCATTATAAAACTACCACTTACTTGGCTTGCAGTCCTTAAATACAAACATGTTATTCACTCTATTTTACTACATTTGTATCTATCTATCTATCTATCTATCTATCTATCTATCTATCTATCTACCTACCTACCTATCTATCTATCTATCTATCTATCTATCTATCTATCTATCTATCTATCTATCTATCTTCTGTTATAATTTATATCTATTTCCTTCCTTCCTTCCTTTTCTTCTTTCTTTCTCTCTTCCTTCCTCTCCCATAATCGGTCAGAAGATGTGAAAAGGGAAATCTCAGAGTTGGAGTCAGGAATCAATTGTTTCATAGTCATTAAGATGGCACTTGTAAATATTAAAGACCTTGCGTTATTTTCAGGTAGAACTCCTATCTGTGAAAAGGTTTAAAAACTAGGTTCAGTGATATAGTAATATCTGCTTTCTTCTGTCCACTGTCATGTAAGCAATTTCAGTGTAAGAAAAATACATACAAATTACTTTATAAGTAAACTATGAATCTTTTAAGGAACCTTTGCTAGCCTCCTTTGTAGCTAAGGTATAGACTTTGTAAGATTTATTCTAGTAATTCTGTAAGACATGTGAAAAGCCTAAATATTTCAATGCATACGTTGGCACTGTGTGGGGTGAGAATAAATATAATTCTAATTATGAAGAACATTACAAAATGATTTAAATAACTAATTCTAGGAAATTGCCCCTAGAAGCCTGCTGTTTATCGTGACTGCACTACAGTGTTGAAAGCCACACTATGTGAAAACCAAGTAATCAATTGTACTGCCTTAGTGTTTTACAGTCAGCGACTAAAACAGGGGTCAGATAGTGCCTGTGCCAGGACTCACAAGCAAACATTACTCTCTGCTAGTTCCTTTCACCCTTTCCAGTATCAGACATCAATCGTTAGTCAAGCATTCTCCTTATCTGTTCCAAATGGATACCCACAGTTCTCAATGCCAGGCTTCATGCTGTCATTGCTAATTGATCAAAGTGGACACATAAGATGAAAGACCTTTTCCACAGTAAAATATAATAGCAATTGGAAAAAAGACAATTCTGCATTTGCTGAATACTTGTGACTACCTTTACAGTTTGTCCTCATTTGAGATAAGTAGAGAATTTTAATGAAAGCATTCTGTTTTTTTAATCATGTCTTGTGTCATAACTTGTGTAGATTAACAACGTACAGAACAATAGGATCAAAATTGGCACATTTTTTCTGATGCTTTGAAAGATGTTTTAATTGGTCCTTATTACTGCTCTGCCTCAAAAAAAATGAAATCAGAATTTCCCCAAGCCAAATGCTATAGTCATATGGCACTAGCAAATGTCTTGTTTGTTGTTCTTGTCTGTCATTTAATCACTCTTTAAAGATAGGAATGGTGTTCATAAACATGTGGGACTTTATTTTACGTTTGTTGATTTTTATTTTGTTAGTTGACTTAGAATAAGAGAAACAAAGGAGGTTTTACAGGCACAACTACAATCTGGTTTGGCAGGACTGATAACTTGTTTCTGAGCCTGCATAATTTAAAGTTAAATACTTTGGCAGCATTGACTCACATTATAAAACTATTTCTGATTTTCAAATCTCACCAACTTGGGTGCTAGAAAGTCATCCTGAAGGAGTCAGTCTTCTTGTCTTGGAAAGTAGAGTAGGAAGGGTGGTCAAAAAGGGTCAGATGCGGGCTGGAGAGATGGCTCAGCCATTAAAGGCTAGGCTCACAACCAAAAATATAAAAAGGGTCAGATACTTACATGACAGATATTACACAAACTCTTAAATGAGAGTCTTCATGAATGTGGAGAAATGATTAATAAACCAAGAGCCAACATGAATGAGTTAGTAATCATCTCATGACAAAGTTTGTATCTATCTATCTATCTATCTATCTATCTATCTATCTACCTATCTATCCTCTATCTATCTATCTATCTATCTATCTATCTATCTATCTATCTATTATCTATCCTTGTATCTATCATCTACCTCTCTGTCTATCAATTTATAATACGTATCCTATCATCTATCTATCTTTATCACCTGTCTGTCTTTCATCTATCTATCTATCTATCTATCTATCTATCTATCTATCTATCTATCTATCTATCATCTATCTCTCTAGCACTTATATATCTTCTTTCTGTCTATGTAGTAATCATTCATAATGTTTGATTTTTTTGGTTGGCCATTTGCTGAGATACTTGACTATAATATAAACATGTAGACTTGCTGTTATTTCTTGAATACATTTTATGTTTGGTTATAACTTAAACACTTTTTATCTTACTAGTTCATAATTTCAGAGTTTTTAATGTTACATCTATAATGTTTTGTGACAACTGTTGAGAATATTTAGAATACTACACATTCAGCATACTGATTTACACATTAAAGCATTAAAAAGAAGATGACTCCTAACAGGTTTGATTGTTAACAATGGGTAGATACTAATAAACATAAGTAAAATGTTTACAGTAGATGAAGTGGATGGGTATAACAGTTTTGTATAGGACTTTTCCAACTTTGCTCTAGTTTAGAAAATGGCCATAATAAAATATAGGTAGAATTGAATAATAAAAATAAATAATTTTAAGGTACAAAATGAATGTTTTCAATCTTAAATTTATAAAATTTTATTTTCCTAATAAAATTTAGAAAAATGGAAGCTCAAGTATAGTTTTAGCATTCTCTCATAAAGTGTCATCATGGGAATTGAAGAACTACAGCTTTTAAGTTTGGGTATATGATTTTATCCTGTGAAGGTCAGGTTTCTACTTGAAATTTTAAAAATTAACACTCTACAGAAAGTGATTATTGATTACTAATTGTCTAAATTTATGACTATATATGGGAACTTTATGGTTCCAAAGTTTTAATTAACATTTTTATAGAATGCCTGTGAATTGGAGAGAGAATAATTCATTGAGATTAGTATGTTACTAGTGATCATTGAATTAGTGTACTTTTTGTTTTATATTGATTTTCCTTAATGTTTATATAGGGCCTTTCAGGTAACACAGGCTGTTCTTGAATTGATTATTTAGCACAGGTTAACCTCAATTTTCCTATTCTCCTCCTCAAGTCTCCTAAATGTTGGAATTATAAACAGCACTATCAAGCAATGAAGATGTACTTCTTTTAAGGATGTTAGAAAATAAAGCACATAAATGGAATGCTTGATATATAACACTCCCCAGTGGTTATTTATAAGTATTTGATTCTTTGTATTTTACCACTGAATATGATTTTATCATTGTAAGTGTTCTTATGTATTACTATGTACATTTATTTCAAAGGTCATCTGACATTATCATTAAATGTAAGAAAGTGCTGGACTACTGAGGTAAACATGGTATTACTGAAACACAGAGGCATGTCAACCGTACGTGTTATGTCCCCATTGCTTCAAAAGTTTGGTTCTGTTTTTAAATTTGGGGCACTTAGAGAATAATGCCAACCTGATTATCATTCTCAAGTGAGCTTTCAAGAGTTCATTAAAAGTTGAGAACAGCGTGCTCTAGGAGGCAGCTATTTTTAACAGCACTAAATTTGAATCCACCTACTTTAAAGCTTTCCATTGTTTTTAGCAAATATTTCTATAAATAGCTTTTATATCCTAAGTCCATTGAGGTCACAATTTACTGCCTCCTGTCGGAATATCTTGACAGTCGACCTTTCTATTGAATTCTTAAAAACTAAACATGTCTGCTCAAAAATCAGCATTGATTGAGAAACAGCACAAGCAGGTTTGCCATGCAAGCAAACAAAATTTCCAAAATGTTGAGTTCAGTTGGACCCCACCAAGTGTGCATAATCATGCTTTGATTTGATAAATTAGTGCTAAATGTTAGTGTCATCATAAACACAACTTATGACAACAGCCTGCTTTTGAAAGAAAATGCTTAAAATCCCACTTAAAAATAAAATCCTACCATGAGAGATATATTTTTTTCATAAATTTAAGTACAAAATTTATTACTGACAATCTATAAAAATATTGTCCGTAAAAAATCTGTGTCACAAACTTAGATCTAAGGGTAACTTTGTATAATATTTCTCTAGTAGTATTAATATGTATTAACTATTATCAAAAATTTTATAGAAATACTTGAAATATTTTGAGGTGACAGTATTTAAGAAAAGTTGACACATAAGAATTCTGTCTTTGAAATCTTTTTGGTCACCTCCTTTGTTTCTCTCTGCTTGTCCAGGATTTTTTTCACTGTTAAGTAACTGGTTAGTGATCATTGCTTCA